CAATTGGGTATATTGCAAGTAAGTGCTCTAGAATCTAGATGAAAGTCTGCGAGTAATTAAGAACTTTACTGATGATCAAGTGCAAGAAGGTAACTCACGATCAGTTGGGGATCGGAAGGGATTTAGTCATTATAGTTGGACCTTGAACTGAACCAATTTGCTGGTGATCCTGTCGATAGGAAATTGTTAAATGGCTGATCAGTTGAATCTGATTGATCTGTGATGATCGAAAAGTCCGATTAGTTTAGCAAGTGCTAGATTCCTTGACCAGCTGGCTGCTGTTATCTGATCGCAAGTGAATGCTTTTCAGAATACCAATAGTGCAAACGAGAACGAATTGGAGCGTCTCCGAAAGAAGGTCACTCAATTGACCGATATCAACAAACAACAAGCCCTCGAGCTTGAGAATATTCGTAATGAGGTGAGATAACCAGTCTCTTACAGTAAAATCAGTCTGTAATCAGTCGGAGTTTCTGCTGGTTCTGATTGGAGAAACTCAAACTTTTTGCTGTACTTCCCATCGATAGACGATGATTCCAGTGGATGGACTGCTTAAATTTAGTCATGTTAACTTCCAGCTTTGAGCACTGTACATCCGAAACTGTATCATTAAAGTTTTACGATCCCATGTAATGAAATTTTCCATATTGCTAGAGATTCTGCGTTGCTTCATTTTGTAATCGCTCGAGTTCTAAATTAGTTGAAAGTGGTGATTTTCATCAAAATATTGTCGCATATTTGTTTGTAACTGATAATATCTTAAAATATTCAGCGGGATCAATTGGACAGAGCCTATCGCGATAAAGTGAAACAAGTGGAGCAATTGAGCGACGCTGTCAAAAATCTTCAGGCCAAACTCACTTATTCAAGACAAGAACTCCATGATGTTAAAGAGAAGGCAAGTTCATGAGCCTGCGAACGAATAAGCCAAAATCAAATGCTTGTGAATGAACTCACAATAGAAATATAATGATTTGAAATGATCAAATTAAAATTTTCCCAATTCGAGATTAAGAAATCTTTCATACAACGAATATTATTTGAATCATAACCATTTGGAATGGCGTGGTCAAGCTGAGGGGATTATCTTGATAGGTGCTTCAAGCTAGAACTTACAAAGAACTTAATCCATTGCTACCGTTGAAATCTCAAGAGTATCCCTCTTTTTATGTATATTCTCGATAGATAGATATTTTTCGCTGGATTAACGGATTAAGCTTCATGGAGTAGCATCTTATGAACCTATTAAGTATGCAGCGCTGTCTGATATTCTAGTAAATGCTCAATAAGACAACAAGGATTAAGATTTCAGCGCAAGATTTAGTTCAGACAGATAACTTCGTAAGTTTTGAGTTCTGAGACTAAGATGAAAAATTAAATGTATTTGCGATCAATCGTCATCGATTATATCAAATGCACAGTTTCAGTTGATGAACATCGAGACGGAACGTAACACTCTACGAGATGAAGTGAAAAAACTCCAGAATGAACTGCAGTTCGGCAGGGATCAAATGATGCGTAAAAACGACGAATTCAACGCAGCACTCGATGACTTGTCGAATGCACACAGGACGGCCGAAGACGGCCGTGTCAACGCCATCCAGGAGTTGGAGAGCCGCAAGTTTGAGATCACTGATCTGCAGGTATCGCACCAAAACAAATCCTTGATCAGATTCTAGATGGGGAAATTAATCGCAATCGCAATCGCTGATCAGAAACGATCAGAATAGCGTGATCAATTAACATAGATACGCATGAAGATTGTAAATTTTAAAAAATCTTTAGAAACACAATGCTATTCATGATAGAACATTGATCTCCTTTATCCGTCGGATATGAAACTATGAATAGTTTCGCTTAAGATCAGTATCCTTTACGGAAAAAATGAATCAGGCAAGATGTAAGCATAAGCATCCACAGAATGGAGGGTAATCATTGACTGAAGCTTATAAAGTAATCATTGTATATAGTAATAGAAGCTTATATAGTAATCATCTTATATAGTAATCATATAGTAATCATTAACTGAAGCTTTTTTTGGAGATAAAACTCCTTCGTTACTATCGATGAACATGAATCACTGGTTATAAAATAAAGGCGCAATGAAATTTATACACAATACGCTTGATCCATAGAAGATCCTGCAGCTGCTAGATGACAATCAGCTAATGTAAAACATTCTAATCGGAGAATATCGGCGTAAATGCGATACTATTCATGATAGGGCGATACCTGGATACTAGGTATTTGGATTGAAGTACTTGAATTAATAGAATGGATCCATAGA